GACTGTGAAGCAGGTGGGAGTGAGGGATGGAGGAGGGTGTTGCTCTGGTGAGAAAACCCCTTCTCACTTCTTTTCTGTTCTGACTTGTCCCTTTGGTCCTGCTTACAGGGACCAGGGTGGACGGGGTGTGGGGAGGTGAGGACTTGGGACCTTGGGGGCCTGCTGCCTTGGAGGGGGCAGCCCCGTGGGAGATGTGGGTGGCTAGAAGCTCCCAAGCAGCCTGGGGAGGGTGTGTGCTTGCTCCGTGTGGTGCTCTCTCTGCCTTCCTCCCTCCCCTTGGTGAGGGTCAGTGGCCTGGCAGCAGTGCCGCTGTCCACAGCAGAGTGTCCCCTCCTGCCTCCTCTGGGGCTGTCTTTCATCTGACTGTCGCACTGTCATCAGAGAGATGGCGGCTGCAAATAGCAGGAATAAGTTGTGCAATTGTAACCACACAAGCTGCTATGAAAAGAGGAAGTAAAGCCAGTGGGGTGAGAAGACACCAAAGTAAGAAAGGATCAGAAACTCAAGAACAAAGGAAAATTTCAGAAAAACCCCAAGAAGCAAGAGGCCCGATAAGGAGGGCCTCATGAATGGGGCTCCTCAGAACACCGTGAAGAAAGGTCTCCCAAATAAGGGGAAGCCAAGAGATACTCACTGTTAACAACTGTGTAAAGTTTTATAGCTTTTAAATATATTCCCTTAGGGGATTTCAGGGAGAACAGCATGTGACCTCTGGCAAAGCACAGACACCAGAGCCTGCCAGGGCCCCGGAGCATTCACCCACACACATCAGATCCCCTGTATCATGTATCGGTTGCTCTCCTGACCCAGAAAACTGCATATCCCTTACCACCTGCTCATGTCTCTTCACGATCTTGGCCCTTCTTCTGGCGATGTAACAGGTCTCTTGACTACGGGAGGTTTTGCTGACAGTTGAGCCTGTGTGATTTGGAAGGGGCATCATGTCAACATTCATAGAGAGCCTACTATGTGTCCTATGTGTGCTTGGTATAATCCCTAAAGTAAACATTACAATTTTCAAATTTTCAAATGAGGAAACTGAGAAAATTATGTGGCTTGCCCAGGCTCACATAACTAGTAAGTGGTGGCCCTAGGACTTGAACCTGGGCTACAGGTATTTACTCTTTCTGTTGCATTAGGTGAGCAGTGACATGGGGGAGATGCCTTCATGCTCTCCTCCTGCACCCATGGCAGATGCTGCTAATGATCGTGCTGATTGTTCCCCTTGAGCTAGGACTATGTATAAGTCACAGTCCATGTACAGAGAAGTAGAAACTATGGTTCTCAGGGAATTTTGCTTTGACACAAGTTAAAATGTATTACAATGGTAGGCTAGCAATGGAAGGCTGTAAATAACACCCCAGCCATGAATGCTAAAATGATTTTGGTAAACTTATAAATCATAGGAAATATATCCATCATCCTTCATCTGATAGCTGGCCTTTTCTCCACTTCTTAATTCCTTAGGTTTCTTTTCTCATTCATGGTATTACTCATTTATTCAGTCAATAAATATCCCCTCTGTATCTGGGAGTAAAGTACAGAACAAGGCCAAGTGCCCACTCTCATGGAACCTGGTATCTAATGGAGAGGCAGGCAATACGTAAGCAAGGCCCACATATGCCCACAGCTCAGCTGGCCACAGCGTGAGGAGGAAGTGGAGCAGGGAAGACAGCTACAGGGAGTGGAGTGTGGTGTGTGCAAGGTTGTCAGAGAAGGACTTTCTGATAAGGGGCCACTGGAGCTGAACCAAGAAAGAAGAGAGTGAGGGAGCTGAGAGGATGTGGCCAAGTGTGCACAGACAGAGGGAACAGAAAAGGCAAAGGTCCTGAGCAGGACTGTGTTTGCAGAACCTCAAAGAGGCTGTTGCAGCTGGAGTGGAGTCAGGGAGAGGGAGGGCATTAGGGATGGAAAGTCCGAGCCAGGTACTAGCTGGTAAGGATCTGGGCCTTTATTACTCTGAGCAAGTTGAGAATCCACAGGAGATGCCAAGCAGAGAGAAACATGGTCAGACTTGGGCTTTAACATGACCGCCCCGCCACATATGGTTTGGAATGGAGAGCGGGGCAATGTTTGCTGTTGGGAGGCAAGCCCCGTGGTCTGATAGGAGTCGTCAGCGGCTTGAACCAGGAAAACAGTGGTGAAGGGGTGACAGGTGGCTGGATTCCAGATATGTTATGAAGGTGGTGCAGCCAGGAGTGTTGACAGATTGGATGTGGGGTGTTATGGGCTGAAATTGTGTCACCCAGAATTCATATGTTGAAGTCTTAATGCCTGGCACTCAGAATGTGACTGTATTTGGAGAAAGGGTCTTTAGAGAGCTAAAGGTAAGCGAGGTCTTACTGTTGAGGTGGACCCTAAGCCAGTACGACTGGTGTCTCGATAAGAAGAGGAGATTGGGACCCCGACATGCCCAGAGGGTAGGCGGGTGAAGACAGGGGAAGACGGCCTTCTGCAGTCCAAGAGAGGCCTCAGGGAAAGCCGACCTGCTGATACCTTGATCTTAGACTTCTGCCCTCTAACACTGTGAGCCAGTAAGTTTCTGGTGTTTATACCACCCAGTCTGTGGTGTGAGAGAGAGAGAGAAATCTGACATGATGCCCAAGAGTGTGCCTGTTTTATGTCCTGGTTAGGAAAGCTCAGGCATTGGGCATTTCCTCCAAAGCACCAAGAGACGTCCTGCTGGGTTATGCCATCTACTACACACCTCTAACTGTGCCAGAAGACTTGGGGGAAAGAGTGAGACACGGACATGAGCGGTTACAAAAGGGGGAAGGCCCCACACCAGCATGAACACTTTGGTGCCAACACCACGCTGAGCTGTGGAGTCCACTGCTCCTGTTTGCGGGGAGTGCCTACCCTCTTCCTTTCTGGAATCCCTTTTGTTCTGATTTCACCTGCATTTGCTCAAGCCAAAAGGATTGGGGTACAAATGAGGGACAGGGGTCACCATCCTAGAAACCAAACAGTGCTCTGGGACTCAGTGAAATTGCCCTGCCTGCCTTCTGGAACATTCCCCTGTGTCCACTGCTCTCAGTCCCTAGCCTAGCTGTAGCCAGCTACCATCAGAGTATGTCACCCATATGTGAGGATCCTGATTCCTTGCCCATGACCCTCTAAGGGCATCATGTGGAAGGAAGGAGGCCTGCCCTACCTCTAGACGTCAAACAGGGCTGCCGTGCGCTCTCCAGTTCCCATGGGCTCTGCCTCTTCAATGGAAGGTCTCCTCCTGGGTGTTAGCACTTGCTCTCTAGGGGTCTGGTGTGGGGCCCCTGGGAGCCTGCACTGGAAGACAGTTTGAATTTAACTAGATGAGCTGCTCTCACTCACCACATGCATCTGCCTACATCAGGTCTGTGCATCGCAACTCCCTCTTCCTCAGGCTGCCCTCCTCTGCATGTGGATGCTGACTCCATTGTGGTTTGCTTGGGCCTGGTTATGTGGATGTAAGGATTTGGTGATGTATATCAAGCGTCAGTAAACCATGGCTGGCCACCTACTTTTGTAAATAAAGCTTTATTGGAACACAGCACATGCATTATTTCCAGGTTGCTTGTGGCTACTTTCACAGCACAACAGCAGAGAAGAGTGCCTGCTGCACAGACTATATGGCCTGCAAAGCCCAAAATATTTACTCTCTGGTCCTTTACAGAAAGAGTTGGACGACCTCTGATAGATTTAGGTGGGCTAACCTTCACAAAGGGGAAAAAAGCATTAAAAACACTACTACAAAAATGAGTAAGTAAACAAGTAAATCCACTGTGGATTAACAATAATATTAACATTACAAAAAAAAAGGACAATCAACTGGCAGGGCCGGCACTCTTCCACCCAAAGTACAAACAACTTGTCAGATAAAACAATTATCCTCTATGTAGGTCTGTTAAGAAGTTGGTGGAGAGAGCAAGATGGGGAGAGAGAAATGAATGAATGGATGGATAGGTAGGTAAATAGACAGACTGACAGATGATAGATAGATGATAGGTAGATGATATGAAGATGATAGAGGAATTGTGGTTATAAGGGTACATGTTCAATTTAAAAAAATACTGGGGTGCATTTCCCCCCCTTAATTATTACTTATTCAGCACTTTCATGGCTAAGCACTGTTCTTAGGGTTTTCATATATTAACTCATTTAGTCTTCACTCAGAACAAAACCTTAAGAGGCAGGTACTCTTATAACTGTCTCCAAGACACAGAGAGGTCAATTAATCTGCCCAAAGTCCAGGAAGTGTGGGAGGGACTTAAATACAAGTGGCTTGACTCCAGAGCCTATGCTCTTAAACTCTTCATTATACTGTTCTCAGTTATGAAAACAAAGGCAGAAACAAACCCCTGAGTGGTCAGAGAGCACTGCCTTGGTGGGTAGCTCCTTGGGCATGACTTGGCATCCCAGCTACCAGCCTCATCCCAAACTCTGGTGCATGGAGGCCACTCCTTTAAAGGAACTTTGAGTTTTTAATTTCAAGAGACATGCCCAGGAATGAACCCAGCAAACTGAGAAAGTAGCAGCGAAACAGGTCCTCAGGCACATAGGACGGTGGGGGCTCCTCCAGAGATTTCAGTGAGTTGGGAAGCATTTGTTCGTGGGTGTCACAGCTCTGAGCATCAAGGACAGTCTCCTCTGCTGAGAGCCTGGGCTTCCAGGGGCACTGAGTGTCTCTGGCTTGGCTGGCAATGGGGAGTTGGCAGACAGAAAAGGATGGGCCTCAGTATTTTCATCTGTCAAACGGGGGAGCTCAGCTAGCTAGTCTCTAAGAGCTCTTCATGGGTCATACTATACTGATTCCATATTTAATGAAATGGGGAAAATATTCATGCTATATTAATTTGTGTGGGGGTGAAACCCTTTACAAAACATTATGCTTGACTTCTGTAATTGAAAAAAATTGTAGCAGAAAACAGGGATTTGTCCTCCTCCACTCCCCTCTGGAGGAGGGTCTTCTAGAAAAAGACTACACTAGGATTCCCTGTCAGGCAGGAGCCCTATTCTAAGGAATGGGAGCACTGCCATCATCCTCCCGGAATGGAGACAAGGAGGCCCCCCAGGAGGCTTGGCCCAGGTGGGCAAAGTGTTCTCAGTAGCCTCAACCAGAAAAGGTGGAGCAGGGACCCTCAGGGTGTGGGAAGAGAGGCAGGAAAGGATGAGAGACCATTCAAGGTAGGCTGTGAACTAAAATGAAAACCCAAGAGAATAGGGAAGGAGTATTTAGAAGCATTCCCTGCACTTCTATGTGCTCATGATCTGCATGGAGTTCTGCTAATGGTGTGCATCCTTCCACATCTCAAGGACAAGACAACACGGTTCCGTGAGCATTTAAAAAAGACAGCTCCATGTGAGCCCTATCCACCTCTGCCTGGGTGGATTCTCCTCGGTGACTTTTCTTTACCTGCATTGTGCTTTTCTATACTTTCTAATCTTTCTACAATAGACATATATTACTTATGAAATATAAATTGTGTTTAAAAATATTAAGATCTTATGAAATGTCTCTAATACCCTAATATCATATTTTGACAATTGGCAATACCTCAGAATTGGTCCATAGGGGAAGATTTGGTTCCCAGAAATCCTGAAATGGCTGGAATACTTCATGTCTGTGAACTTGGGACCAGGGACCACTGTTTTGCAAAAGGTGCAGATGTTGACAAGATTATTGTGATATCTAGGAAGTCTGCAAATGTGGGTCCCTTTTTTCTGGCCAGAGTGTATTCCCTTGGGTGATGATTTCATACAAACTATGCTGTTCAGAATTTCTACCCATGAGCCAGGGAAAGATAGCTGCTGGCATGAAAATCATGAACTTGCAAACACATAGTTTTGTTAACCTGAATTAATATGCCAACACATATGACCAATCCTAAATTAATGGGGAACTCAGGAAATGGGGTGTACTCAAGAGGGTTTAAATTTCTGGATGGTTGAGGTTTCCTTAGATTATTTTCATTGTCTGACTTACATTTTAGATGATCAGTCTGAAATATATCTGCTTGCTTTTCAGCCTTATTGAACCTGAGCCCTAAATAGTAGATTCAACGGGTGTCTTCTTCAATTTAGTGTCCTGCAAGTTATGGGACAGTGACAGGTCTCTCTTTTTTTTATAAAGGGTTTGGAGATGAGGAAGAGGTAGTGAGTGGATAAAGATGAGCAGGTCCCTGGGAAGACACCAAGTAGTGGTTTTAGAATTAATTTTAAAAAACATGTATTTTCTGTCTCTATTGAAATTCCCACTTTGTTGATGCATTGCTCTTTTAGAATGAATTTCAGAGGATTTTGCTTCTTAGTCATTAGTATCTTGGCTCAAACAGGCAGAATTATCCCCTACAAGTATTGGTTTAATTTGGATTGTGTTAACATTGACAGATTAGCATCAACTGTTGCCATTTTTAAAAAATTATTAAGTGACCAATGGAATGAGCCAAGTTAATCAAATTCCATCAAAGACAACAAGGGAGGACTGTCTTCCAGGCAGCTTTCCAGCAGCAGCTGTAGTAGTGAGCACGAAGTATTCACTGGGCATCTACTACCAGGGGCTGCTCTGTGTGACACAAGGATCAAAGACGCGTATGGGAGAGAGTCTCTGCCCGCAGGACCCACCTAGCTGGATGAGTGACGGTGAGAAGGAGGTGGGGCAGGGTCAGCACAGTGAGCTCATGGGGCTGGAGCAGGTGGCCTGAATTTACTGCTGGCCAAGCGGTGCTGGAGGCAAGCCACTAACATCTCTAGACCTCAGTTTCCTTGTGTGAAAATTGGAGTTCAGTTAGCTTCAAAGGACCTTCAGCCTCTGAGATTCCAGAGCGGATGATTTGTTGAAGGAGGCCTGAGCGTGGGCACCAGGAGCTGTGTCATTCGATGCGTGCGTCAGACTAGGAGCGTCGGGAAAATGATGTCTTCACAATCAACACAAGGGCACAGGCAATTAAGAAACACACTTAGCTGATGGCTTGAGTGTCTGTTCCATTCGGAGGATATATTTCTGAAGAGGGACAGGGTGACTCATCAGATGGCTGTAACCTGATAAAATAGAGCTATCCAATTTCTATGCTCTGATGCCAGGCAACGGAATGATTTTAATTTGGTTTTCCCAGGCTGTTTCCCCAGGCAAGAAGAGGGACAGGCTATAGAAATTGGAAATCAACATGCTTTTGTGGCAGCGAAACTGGATCACATATGAGAAATGCATGTGAAATTTTAAAAAGTTAAATAAAGTAGCATTCAAATGCAAAGGGATAACAGCCTTAGTAATCTCTTCATTAGTATGAATCATTCTTGTGCTGATTTGATTAGCCTTTAAACCATTATATTTTTTAGAGCTAGTAAATCCGGGGTGACTTGATACATATGGAAGTTCTGGTACTTTACATGGTACATAACATTTACATGGTACTTTACACTACAGAGTGTTTTCGCATATAGTATCCCAGTAGCTCTGCGAGAGAGGGAATATTATATTCCCAGCACAGGAAGGCTCGGTGTTATAGAGCTAGGAAAGGTTTGAGCTGTCAGTCGAACATATATCTGTGACTTCTAATCCTAATCACAATGCTTCTACTTCAGAAGGGAATGAATGCTTGCACCACACACACACACACGCAACGCACACACAGACTCACCCACGTTCCTACATAAGATGCATGCCCAGTAGGACAACCAAAGGAGTGAAGAGAAACAGAAAGCCATCTCTTCTAGAGATCATGAAACTGCCTCTTTCCCCCTTCCAATGTCCTCAAAGTGCATTCATAGGGCCTCCGCGGGGGGCTGCCAGGTGGTGAGGTTGGTTTAGCTTCCCTAGTGCTGGGACTCAGGCTGAGTCTGTTTGCTGCAGGTTTAGTGCACCCATTCTGCTTAGGTGGAGTCTCTGGGGGTGTCAGGGTTTGGTCTGGTTGCCCCTGCTGAAGGTGTCTAGGGACCTCACCCAGAACAGCCCCACAGAAAAGGGCTGCCTGGCTTAGCCCACCCCTGCTCCCGGAGCTGCAGG